ACAATTTTAAGCGAAAAAAAAAAAAAAAAAAAAAAAAATCATTCGAACAATTGTGTACATAATTACCACAAAGAAAGACAATCTCACGATACACGCTTGTTATAATCTAATTGATGTACTTACGTAAGCAGTCAAGAGGACTTACGTAAAAACTAATCAAATGCAGCGAATCGCTGTTCACATTATTGTTGTAAAAATATTTGTTTGGGTAGTTTTTTTTTTTTTTTTTTTTTTAAATTTTATTTCTCTTTTTCCCTTTCTCTTGTTTTTCTTTCTTTTCTTTTTCTTTGCCTCCCCATCCATCATTTTCGTTTTTCATATAATAATTATTGAAGCAAAAAGTGTTCTCTTTAATCGATTTTTTTTAAATAATATATTTTATTTTAACAAACTGAACGAGACAATTTCAAATTGCAGTGGTAAAGTATTAAATGAGGAGAATTGCATTGTAAATCACGTTTCATCAATTTTTCAAATACGAAATTTAGGATATATTTAGAATTTTAAAAAATTCTTTCTAAAATTGAAATTGAAACATGCACTACCGATTGATGAGTATCCGGACTTATAAAAGATTTTTATAGTAACGATAGAATCAAAGTATATAAATTAATAAGATAAGAAGCACTTAATAACTTCTTATGAAATCTTAATAGATTATATATTTACTTACATTATCTATATATAGAATTTATACATTCATATATCACATATGAAATACATATATTACAGACAAATAGAATATAATATTTGTCATTAATTTTAATCCTTTATAAAAGAAAGAAGAACTTTCGATTTATACTTTTAGAAATTAAACAATTTAAAGTTATTAAAGACGGTTATTAAACGGATAAAGTAGTTTTACAAGATATAGAAATGACGGGTGTCAATTTTATTATTGCATATTAGCATTTAAATAACTTTTATCTATATATAATATTCTACTATAAATAAAGATATTGTCCATTATTGATAACTATTTGAAATAACTTGTATATATCTCCCGAAAAGAAATCCTATTCTTTACTACTTTAATAAAATTTCTTTTTGTTATTTTCAAATGGATAATATTTTGAATTTCTCTTAAAAATCAATATAAAATGATTTTTAAATTTTTCTTGAATATATTATTAAATGAATTAAATATGTTATATAATATTATAAATTAAAAAAAAAAAAAAATCAATTGAACCAATTATTCGTGACTATCCAATAGTCTCTTTCTATTCGTAATTTGCTAATTAATCCTATCGTAAATAAATAAATATCCGGATACTCTTGAGCGTATAGTGTATAATCAAACTGGTTGGTAATTATTTGGAAATTATGATAGATGCAGTTTATCGATTCCAATGACCTTGAAAAATCTCGTCAAACCTAACTTAATTCTAAATAATTATATTCTATATTTTTAAAAATACTTTTCCAAATATTTTTGAAACTAAAATCATGCGACGATAAACGCACGAAATTATTCTTATTATTGTAACAATATTGAAAAATAATATAAGATACAATAATATATTTCAAGGTCATTTTACGAAATTTTTTACGAAATATGCCCTATCTCGGATAATTATCACGAAGAATGTCTTTTTAAAAATTACACCTATTTTGCGAGAAAATAACCGATAGTCTCCATTTGAAATTAAGCGTAGCATTTGATATTGTTATGAAGTGTATAAATTTTAAAAATTCAATTCTCTTCGATTAAAAATATATAAACGATGATTAGGTATTTTTCAAGAGATTGAAATCGCATGAATTATTAAATTATAGAGATATATTTTCGTTTCGATGTTTGCGCCGCTGTATCACACTTATACGTCGTGTCAATATTACGGTCTTGTAACGGAATAAGCTTCTCAGGTGTCATAACCCTTAATTACACTTATCGAATGTGCTAAAGTTATGTTTAAATGGAGAATGACTCGTTGCGTCAACTTCAATTAAGAGAAAATATAATGAGAAGGAATAAGGAAGAAAAATAGAAGAAAAATGAAAAATAATAGATGAACAAAATCTATAATTTTAACTTTTATCGAATAAACTGTTGATTTTTTTGTGTCGTATCTCCGTACAAAAATGCATGTAAATAGAGTTTATATAATGAATACACAAAAGCGAATAACACAGAAGCACTTAATAAACTGAATTATAAATAAAGCTTAAACGGAACGAAATTTGTTATTTTATCGAAATTATTTTTTATCATTAACTTCACATTGATCTCCTATATTATTATTTATACTATTCTATTTAATATTAAATTAATATAGTATACAATATGATAATTAATATAAAAAAAGTGTCAATATATTCGTTAGACATTTTTGAGGAGACAAAAATATATCTATAACGATATATTTAAATTGATTGATTTTATCGATATTTTTAATATATATATATATATTTCTATTAATTCTATATTTTTTTCTTTAGAAGATTAATTTAAAAGATAAAAAGAAATTTTCATCAAGAATGTTTAAATTTTAAACTATTTCAAGGAGAATATTTCTTAGAGTTATTTCTTAGCTTCCATCAAGTTAATAAATTTCATCATAGATATTTCGTAAAAGCAATCTTTTAATTCTGTCTACCATAATTCAACGAAAATAATATTTTCTTTAATACAATACGTATATTTAATCTAATTTTCGTCCAGAAAACTTCTTTCAATTTCCATTAGAACGAAGTCTAATCATATGATGAGAATATTTCACAATATAATATATATTTTTCATTAGTAATATATATATATATGTATATCACGTCTAATTTAATGGAAATATTTCACAATTATATGAAAATTCTCTATCTGTAAGTATAATTTTCTCATTATTTTTTAAGAATGAAAATTTAACAAAAATAAACAAAATTCCAATGCATCGTTCAATCTAAATGGAATAAAATTTATTTCTTAAATTTTATTGCTATTAACATATAGACGTTCGAAAATGTTCTTTTCAGGCTCCATCCAATTCTCATCTTATCGAAAAAAAAAAAAAATAGCCATCGAGAGAATCGGGAGAAACCTTTTTCGGAAATATCGGTTCAATTAAAACTGCAATTACGTAAGCTTTCGGGCCCGATAGATCTTTCCATGCTTTCCAATCGACCGTCCACTTCTCCAATACTGTTTCCTAATTCAGAGTGGCTTTGGAGACCTTCGTAATTACTGTCGTTTTAATGATGGTCCATCGTTCACACCGACGACCTAATTCCTGAGTGGTTTTCGACTCTCTCGCTTTCTCTCGTGTCATTCTCTTTTTTTCAATTAATAGGATAATTTACCCTGTTTTCAGATTCACGAACAAAGGGGGGGAGAAGAGGGAGGGAGGTAGATTTTCTTTTAAATCAGTAGACGTTTCGTTGTTCTCGAGGCCCTTGATCAACGATCCTTGAGATTGTTCAATTAGCGCGATAATTAACTTGCCCTCGGCCCATTTTTACGCATCGCCAATACTCGACTCGAAATTTTCGGTCGGAAAAATTATTTCGTGAACGTTTATAGAGATTCGCTTGATATTTTTGCTTTTTTCTTTTTTTCCAATCCTTCAAAATCTATACACGAGGTATTGATTTTAATACCTCGTTCCGGAAGTGGCGGAAATCAATGCATTGTACGATATATATTTTATCCGTATTTTACCTATTTTTTAGATCTAGAATCTAGAGCAACTATGAAAAATATTAACAAATTTTAAATTATTAAAAAATTATAAGAT